CCGATGTTTCTTTTCCGATTTCCCATATGGGTTTTTATTAGGATTTACGATGGCCTTTAGAATGGCTTATATGGCCTCAAAGGGTCACAGAACGGCTCTAGAAGTCTTCCACTTGATTGCCGTTTGATAAATCAGTATTTCGTCTTCCTGAACGTTTTTGCTGCCTGTCAGCTGACGCCAGAAGGTAGAGGGCTTCGTCGCCCTGGGCGCGGTTTGACCCGGGTTAGACAGAGCAGTGTTAACCAGAATTCAACTTCTTAACCCCTGCAAATTATTTTTGTTTGATGGACTGATCAATTGACCATAATTTGATGACGATCACCGCATCATCTTGTGATTGCTTTGTGGTCCAATCCCTCATGGTCCCCATCTGCTCGCTCCTTTCTCTTTTTTGTTTTGCGGCCATAAAGGCATCAGTATTTCCAAAATCCGCCCCGCCATCGTTGTTGTTTTTGCGCCGAACCAATTTCACCCGCCTCAAACTGAGGCGATTGATCCCATCGGGGAAATTTGCAGATGGCTCAGGCGTGTGGGTTGGATTCGGGAAAAAAACGGCAATGATGATTGAATGGCGGTAACGAGGGCCCGAGAAAAACTCCGAAACCTCCTGTTTGAGCAATTTTTGCGATTACCATTTCCTCAAGCCATCTGATGCAGGAAGCGCCAACTTCTAGCAGTAATGCACACGTACAAAACGTTCTCTCGGCTTGAGGCTATCCTCAGGACATGTAGGTCAGCTGACTGTGAGCTGCTCTCGAGAGTTTACCCGCTTGGATTAATGATGGCGTTGGTAAAGAACTGAGCTGGGCGAGGTAGAATAGCGGTGCAGCCGTTACACTAAATCTTGTCCTCTCTCTCTGGTAAAACGCTGCGGCAATTTTCCACGTTTTCCAGAATCCCTATTTGAGTTTTCTGTTTCCCAAGGCGCCCTGGGGTTTAGCCGCCGAATTTTGCATTATTGATTCTGAGGAAAATTAGAGCAAGTACTCAGATGGTGTTGGTCAAAACGCCTCGACGGCAATTTTGTTGATGCTACCCGTTTCGATGCCAATTTTCGACGACAACGAAGCGTCGCGGCCTCTACGAGCGAACAATCATATTATTTTGCCGGCTCAACGAAAAGCTCTACCCGATCGTATTCTGACATCATTCTCCACTAGATGATCGATTACCAGTACAAATTGTGAAAATTAAAGAAATTTCGGTCACTTTCCCAGATACCCTTTTCCTCGGCGCAGCCGTTCGGGCAAGGGATGTGTGGCGGCAATGCATGAAATGTGTTTTCAAGCGGAATGGCATATGACTTTTTTACTCGAGCTCATTATTTGCCGAGCAAATCGATATATCGACTAGGGGAAAATCGATATATCGATTGCCAAATGTCGTGCAGTGAGGGCAGTCGTGCGACTGTTCGCAAGCCATATATGATATGATATGATAAGCTTTCTAATCATTTCTGGACTATGTCATTCCATTGGTGGCGTACTGCTCTCCTGAATGAACTACAATAATGTAGAAAATGGAAATTGACTTGATCACTTACGCATTCGATGCGTATCGATTGATAGTGACAGGATCACCAAGAAAATAGCCTACAGCTGGACTGTGCTGCTAATCAAGCTCTTGGATGCTAGTTTCGACAGAATAATAGTAATGTCAGCGATCGGTTGAGATTATACTTGTCCGTGAAAAAATCGTTTATTGATCATCTCCCTAATCAATACCACTTATAGCTAATATTCGCCGGTGAATATACAAAGGCGATGAACAAAGATTGGCACAGCGACCATTTTTGCTGTTGGCAATGCGATCAGACACTTACCGGACAAAGGTTGGTTTAATGCAACCGACTCTAATCGATGAAATCAATATATTGATTTTCAGATATATTATGCGAGATGAGCAACCGTATTGCATCAAATGCTACGAAGATGTGTTCGCAAATCAATGTGATGAATGTGCAAAACCGATTGGAATCGATTCAAAGGTGAGGCGATAAGTCCGGCAGTATTCTCTATTACGGTGCCCCTCTCCCCCAACCTTGCTAGATACCCCGAATCCTGCTGAAAGAACATTTCGAAGTGAACAGTTTTTATAGAACAATCCTCTAGTAAGAGGACACGCACGCGGACAACTGTTCCAACTTGCGTCGCGTGTTTTATATGTGCGGCTTTACGCGCCGTGTGTTCTGCTGTGTAGCACGCATTGGTGAAAAATAAGCGAAATATAATACCCTGGAAGTGATCATATGTGCAAGGGTGGCCAAAAAAGACATTGTCTTCTGGGAGTATCTGTGGAAGTTTTTTTTTGCATGCAGTGAGTACGAGCTCCTAAAATGTCTGTAGGACAATGGTCCATATATCTTCGGACACCGTCAAATTCGCGATCCTGGAATCCCAGGGCGCTTGAAGTTCAAGTTGACAAGTAAGGTCAAGCCATGAAAAATAAGTTATGGCCGTTGTCCCTAAAGCTGAATGACTAATGTCGTCCACCACATAGTGGCAGCCCCCAAGAACCTACGCCCAGGTGACCGAACTGTAAAAAATGTGCGGTCACTACGAGCTGGTGTGAACACTGAAGTTTGCCTTGAGCTCAGCGTCGATGAAGAATGGTCTCACCTTGTCGTGACGAACTGGGGGGGGGAATGCTTGCTCCTGCTTAGATTTTACCACGCTTTTTTCTGTCCCAAAATCTCTCACTTTCCCAACCTGGGCGTACCTTCCCACCCTAGGCGAAGTAAACATTGATAATGTACTCCATGCCCGCAATGCCTTTTTATTGCTCTCTTTGTAGTAGTTAGCGTAGTATCGTAAAAGGTGAACTTTCTGAGAAACGCGACGAGTTCGACTGCCCTTTGGGGCTTACTCGGGCGATTGGCGTGGGCTAGTCAAACACTGGTAGAATTCCACACATCGGCTGTTGATTCCCTAGCCCTGTTAAATGCTCCAGGAATCAAACTTTGGATAATACTAATTTAGCCACTTCATGAGATTG